AGCTTCTCAGAAGGGAGAAAAATCCTAAATAAAGGATTTTTCACAAAAGATGTCTGTGACAAAGTTCACTTTTGACAACAGCCCAGGACAGTTTTCCTACAATCACCAAAGCCAAGGCTGCACAACACGTGTCTGTGCACACTGCAGCACACACTTCCAGTGCTACACAACTGCCCTGTGCTGTTTTCTGAGGGTTGCTGGTTGGGTGGGATTTGGTGGGGGAGCAGAAACATTGGAGTGCTCAGTTGTATGCAATGCCAAACAATGTTCAGTAAACACTGGCATTGTGTGAAGTGTGAAATACAAAATGAAGTGACTGGTTCATCTGGTGTACGGGCAGATGGGACAGCAACATGAGCGCTTCTGCAGGTTAAGGCAAGCAAGACAGAACTTTTCATTTCAGTGAGCTGATGGTATCTAAAAAGAGGTTACAAAACAGTCCCAGCCTGGCTGGCAACTGGATCATTTCTCTCCTTGCCAAAAGGATGATTTATGTGTGACATGGCGCAAACCCTTCCCCGATCAACTCAAAGCAATTTGTCATCAGCAAGATGGGGCTTGCAGCCTGGAAAGGCTATTGCCATGGACAAGGCTGAGTGCAGGAGGTGAGCGGCTGAAGAGGGCATCACTGAAGAGCTGCATTTGCTACCAGAGCAGAGCTCAGGGTGGGATTGAGCAGGAGGGTGCTTTTCAGGGCAGCACAATTGCAAATTTTGTCTCCTGAGCAGCCGGGCAGGACAGAGGGGGAATGCACTACCGAATGCAGGTCTGGACGTGTGCAATTGCCCGAGAGCAGAGTCTGGTGAAATTCTCAGGGGTTTGGGAGAGGAGGGAGAGTAAGGTCGGAGGAAAGAGGGCACACGGAGTGGTGTGCAGGCTGAGCCTTCTGCAGCGGATTTGGCCAAGAGCAGGGCACGTGGGAAAGGAGGGTGGGAAATGCCTTGTCCTTACTTTTCCCGCAGTGGCCATGAGGTCTTAGCGGAGCCGTGTCTGTCGCTGTGGCAGGCTGGAGGGAAGCTGCTGCCCGGGCGTGCTGCAGGATCCGCCAGGCGGTGAGCGGGAGCAGTCCCGGCGCGGCACCGTCTCTGGAGAGCGCTGGTTAATGCGTGTCGGGGGCTGGATGCTGCGCAGGGAGTGCTGAGGGGAGGAGCTGGATAGCGGCAGGGAGATGGATGGGGCAGAAGTCCTCCAGGGAGCCTTTTATCAGTGACTCTGCCCTTGGGTCATTGCCAGCCCTCCCTGCCTGAAAGGCTCAGAGAGCTCAGAAAGGTTGGGTTATTCCTTCCAGATGATTGTGGCAGGTGTGGAGGGAGGAGATCTGTGTCTCTGCTGGGGCTTCCTTGGCATCCCCTTTTTGCCAGGTTGGAGCATCTGACCTGGTGGCCATTTACACCAGCATATTTGCAAAGAGGTTAAAAATTAAAAAATAAACAAAAACCAAATAGAGGCAGTGAAGATGTGGTATGGATGACAAAGACACATTGCTGTCTGGGTTGGAACTTTACTATCTGTGGTATTGGAGCTATTTTCACCACAGCATTAAGGGGAACGTCTGTCAAGAAAGGAATTTTTTTTCCAAGGACACGTTTGCTTCACTCCAGGGTAGCCAGGTTTGTTGGTTCACATCCCCTGGGCTCTTCAGGTTCCCCCAGAGCTGTTTTCTGCTGAGGCATTGGAAAAGGTGATGTGTAGGAGAAACAGGATGAGCGAGAACTTATTGGAGGACCAGGCTAAGATGTGCACTGTGTGTGTTTGGGAACTGTTTCTGTGTTTGGGAAGAGGTCAGCCCCACGTTTACACGTTCAGTGGGGTGCCCGCAGAGGTTTGTGTTGGTGCTGGCTACTGAATGTCCCAGCCCTTTCTCATGAGCTGGAGGGGAGGTTCATAGCGGCTGCAGGGCTCAGAGCTGGCTGGCCAAGCCCCCAGCTCTCAAGGACCCTGAACATATCTCCAGCTCCAGGGATACAGCCCAGCTGCTCTGTCCTGCCCCAGCAGCTGTCTGAGCTCTCGCACAGAGTATGGCAGCCCTGTGGTGGGACAGTGGTCCCAGCCACATGGATGTGCTGCTTGGCATTCAGTTCTCCAGCCCTGCTGGTCAACTCGACCTCTAGGTGAAGACATGCTCCTGTCTTGGAGGTGAGCAGCTGGTTCTAGAGCTGACATGCACTTGTGGATCACTTTAATCTGTATTTTAGGTAAACAGGGATGTTTAACAGTTTTTCCCAAGAAATTTCTACTTTTTCATACATTTGTTTGCACACCTCTGGTAGCCTCAATCAGACCATAAGCAATGATGATGTATAATTTCCCAGGAATAAGGAGTTTTTAGAATGAAGTTTTAAAGATTTTCAGTATTCAGCCTGGTCAACCTGTTGCATTTAAAAAGAAATAAATCTATCATAACTTCTAGTATGCTTTGTGTATCTTGTTAGAGAAAAAAAAATTCACTTGTCCAGAGCAACTTTTTTTACTTGTCCAAGCATTTGATAACCCCTGAACAAAACATGGGCTTCTTGTTTCCCAGGTATCTGTGTAGCACAATTGTTCTTATTACTGGGTTCTGTGGTCCCCATCTGATAACCTGGAAGCACTGGAGGAAATTATGTTGTGTAGGAATGATCATTTGGCTTTGATGCACTGTCAAGGAGCGTGATCTTAAAAGCATGTGAAAATAGAGCTGCACACTGGAGCATGTGCCTTTTGCGGGGGCAGTGTCTGAGTGGGTGGGGTGTGGTGGGAGAGGATAAACATGGGAGTGCTCAGCTGTAAGCAAAGCCAAGTGACGTTCAGTTAAACTCTACTGTAGTTCAAGGTCAGAGGAAACACCATTTGTGCTTTGTCTGGTAGTTAGATTGCTTCTTGGGAAATTCCTGGATTTTTCATGTGTTTGGTGGATTTTTCCTGGTGTCATCATGTGCTAGTGGACAGCTGGTGCTCTGATAGGGCATGTGGTCGCTACTCGCTGCCAGGAAAGCTCCTAAAGAGAGGCACAGGGCTGTGCAAGAGCTGTCCAGAGCTGTCCTGGGCTCCCCAGGAGTACCTCAGAGCCAGACAGTCATCAGGAAGAGCTGGCAGAAACCTTCTGTCCAAGCTATACAATCACACAAACAAATTCATCTTCAGCTGAGTGTTGATGAGGGTCTGCAGGGCAAAATAAGCTAGGAAAGTATGAACTTTTTGTTGTTTCTGAGTCAGAATACACTTCATTCCTCCATGTGAAGACAGATCTAGATGGCTGCCTTATAAAATATTCCTAATAAAATTATATAATGGGTTTATTGTTTTGGACTCCAGCAGCTATTATACTAAAGATACTAATAGCTGGAATTTACTATGCTTGGCAGATGACAACCACAAAAATGGGCTTTGCATCATCCTGAAGAGGACAGAAGTGAGGTTTGTTGTACTTCAGCTCTTTTACACTGACGACTGAAGTTCAGCTCTCAATTGTTGTGTAAATTTAGTTTATAGACATGTTTAAGGTTAAACTGTAATCTTTTAATTCTCAAATCATTAAACTGTGATCTCTTGTCCTCAAATCATGAAACTAGCTGTGCCACTCAAAGGCTGTTTCTGCTGACAGGTAAGTCATCTGTAGCACAGTCCACTTGCTTCACATGGCACCTCTTCTACCCAGGTGCCATGTGTGTGAGTGCCTGCAAGCTCTGATTAGTCCATGCTAAAGATATGTCAATGTTGACCATATTTGCCACGATAGGAATAGCCTTGTTTCTGTTTCCACATTGCAAATTCAGAAAACTGTAAGATGCTCTATGTTTGGATTGTTGCAAACTGTTACCACTCACCTGTCTCTTCCCATTTATTCTGTATTCATACTTAAGAAATTAAGGAACCTCCCCTTTGTATAATGGAAACAAAAAACTTGATGCACATTCGTGTTTCTTCACTCTGCTTCCCAAACTTCAGAGGCATTTGTATAAATTGGCCAAAGGTGTTAAACCACACTGATCAACAACTAAAACAGCCTCAAGAAAGAGGCATAAATGTAAAAAAACGCCAAACCACCAAATACAAACCATAACACAGAACAATAATATGCCAGTTTTCCATAAAATATCTGGGAGTGTTAATCTGGTAAAATACTGAGTGGTGAGACATTCTACAGTACCTAAGTCTATGGAGATTCTCAGTTCAGTTGAAGAAAGAACAGAGATAATTTCTCCCAGGCCGAGCCTGGGAATCTTAGAGAAAAGAATTAAAACAACTATTATCTCTCTTTCTGTAACTATTATTAATAGTTATGGTTCTTCACAGTGTGCTATTCATAGTCACCAGTAGTGTGAGATGTTTCTACTTTGAGACCAATCAAGTATCACTTTATTGAGTCACATTATAAGAGATCCATTACTTTCATTAAAGTTAGCCTTCTGATCCACCTGAAGACTGGAGTCTTTCTTTCCATCCCTGACTTGACAGTGTCTTAAGTCTATGATTTACTTAAATTATTGATTCAAACACATGGTCACCATAAATTTTAATTTCTGCTATATAATTCCTTGCTTATTAGGCACTGGAATGATACAGTCCTTCAGGATGGATACACAGTTCTAATCTAGAGTTTCACTATGCTGAACTGCAGGTACAAATTTCTTAAGCTTGCAGTGTTATGGAAGCCTAAACAAACAGCGTATTTCCTTTTTATTTTATTAAAAGATTGCATATTATAAGTAATTTGTAAAAATCCAAACTTTTTAGAACATCTGTGACAGGAGCAAGTCCTGTAATTCATAACTGGCTGTTAAAAAAATTGCAGCACAATATAAAGGATATAAAACAGGAATGAGGAGAGGGAAGTACAAGGAAAAAGATGGTTTCATAAATCCTGTGCTTGAAATGTGGGGTTTGAGCTTGATTCTTTTATTCAAGGGCGGTAGTAGATCCTTCAGGAAAGCCTTGGTCTGCATTTCATGTAAGTTGGATTGGAGGACGGTGAAGTTTGTACTGGTGCTGAGCCATCCACTGCTTAATGTCTGGGAATCCTAAAATGTCAGGACACTGCGGATGCTGCAGTATAAAATGACAAGTTAGTGACTAGAAGATCCCCTGGGCTGGCATCAGCAGAACACTGCTGTTTTCTCTTGTAATCTGTGCTATTGCTGTCAAACAGGTACTCACTCCCTCCCTGCATGCCCCCACCCCAGCCTGCAGCAAAATGACAGAACAGATGTGCAAACTTTGCTGCAGATGTAGAGAACAAAATTCACAGAAGACTGCAAAGCCTTCACTGATGCAGCCCAGGGCTCCTGGTAATTTATTACCAGCTACAGCCAGAGAAGTTCCTCAGAGAGGGGCTTGGACACATCTTTCCAATTACAGAGTAACTGGTACAGCTTACTCTGCTCTGAAATGCTGAAGTATTATACTCTGTAAAAGGATCCACTGCAACGTGCCTCCATCTTCAGGATGACTATCAGTATCTTAGCAAAGCTGCTGGCATCTCTGTCCTCACCACTTTTCCATTTGTTATACTAAAGACTAAAAATAACATTTATAGCCCATGTAAAATAAGGACAGTCAAAAAATGAAGTGTGTGCTGCATCGTTAGAACCTGAGAACAAACCTCAGGGGCTGAAATTCTGCTGTTACTTGCTTTTATATTCAGAGCGAGGAACATCTAAAATAACTGCTAGCAAATGACAATGAAAAGAAAACATGAATGTAACTCTTCAGACTCTGTAAGTTATAAACATCTAGAACTTTCAGAGGGTAGTCCCCACACATACTAAGATATACAAATCTATTTCCTACTTCTGCTAAGGACAATTTTCAATTCCCATGGTGAGTCTTGTTAAATGTCTCTGTCAAAAAATATTTCCAATTTCTTTACCCTGAGAAAACAGTCTGAGCTGAAATTTCATGTTATTTGAGGAATGCACAAGAGCTAAATTACGAGTTTGCAATGTATATATATACACCAAGTACTTTAACTTTTTAAAAGCTCTGATGCTCAAGGTAAAGTACCCAGTAACTTTAGACCAGTTGGACTGGGATTGTGTTCCCTAACTCACAAGAGAAATTGGCTGTGTTCCTGCTCCTCATCCTGAAATGTTTCTTGGAATATGATGTAGCTAACCCTTGGCATTCAACAGCTTGGCACTCCTATGCTCCCTTGGTTGTGTGCTTTTTTCCAGTGAGTACTGGGACTTCCTCAACTGTGCAGTCTTTTCTCCCTATGCCACCCAGTGTCTCTGCTCAAACTAGAATCTGAAAGTTCCTCTGCAAGGGCCCGCTGCATTTCAGAAGCTGAAGGTTTACTGACTTTATGACTCCAGCTGCAGCCCATGGGAACACACTGGGAGGGATTAAGGGGCATGCTGGGCTGCCTTCCCCATTCTCTGCCATGAAGTCAGACTTTGTCTTACCATAGATCTCCTTTAGGTTATTTATACAGAGCCTTTACAGTGAAATTATGCTTACCTCTTCCCTGTCCTTAGAAGATCAAATCCTTCATTGATCTTTGTGAAAGGTAGTGTGTGGGTTATTAGTGGATCCAGAACAAACTTTTTCTTCATGTAGTCAGCAACCAGTTTGGGAACTGCATCTTTACTCTTCCAGCCTGAAAAAAACCCCCACAGAAAATGCACGATGAAATTAAATGCTTCTGAAAATTCATAAAACCCAGGGCAGCTTAAATTTTTAGATAAACTTTCTACGGCAGAGTAATGGGATGAAATGTGGCCGCATGGCTTTACCTTTGTAACACAGGGTGCCAGCAGAAAACATGGGACAAAGTGCAGCTATTCCACATATGGCAAACCCAGCAGACCAGTACAATTGTCAGTCTTTACAGAATCCAAACTTTCCCCCACATCAAACACTGTTCCAACTTAATCACGTCACACAAAAGCCAGAGTGCTGACATCCGTGTTGGTAAGTTGAAACTTGATTGTCTGCTCAAAAGTGGGGAGCGGGTGGTGGATGTGTCTCTGTTTTATTACAAACACCACCAGATAAAGTGTCATAAATAGTAGAATGCCCTTCCAGAGGAACCTGATTTGTCTCTGCTATTTTATTCAGGTGTCTTTTTGAATACATAAGAGGAACAGGTCACGAGTGAGAAAACCTGTTGTTGGAAACAAATTTTCTGTGGCCTTTGAGTCGAGTGAGCTAGGACACTTTGCTGAGTGTGGGACTGCTGAGAGAGGTCCAAAAAGAGAAAGAATGGGAAGGGACTCTTGGCAGCTGGCCAAGGGCTAAGGTGGGGTCTGACCCCTGTGGAAATCAGCTGAGTATAAGCCCTGATGTCCTTTACAGTTCTGACTCTCCATCTATCCTGCTATCTCTCCCTTTCTATTCCTCTATTGCACTTGCTCTTTTCCTCTCCTCCCTCTGTCCTCTCTCTCTCTTTATGATTTTCTCTTTTTTTTTGCTTTATCTTCTATCCTTTATTTCCTCTTATCTCTCTCCTTCTCATTTTTCCTCCTCTTTATTTTTATCCATCCTCCTCCCTCCCTTCCCCCTCATTTTCCTTTTCTCTTTTGCTTCTCTCCCTTTTCTCTCATTTTCCTTCTTCCCTTCCCTTCCCTTCCCTTCCCTTCCCTTCCCTTCCCTTCCCTTCCCTTCCCTTCCCTTCCCTTTCGCTCTATTTTCTGTTTTCTTATATCTCTCTTTGTCTCTTCTTCTCTTCCCTTTCTTCCCCCTCCCTCCCTCCCCTTCTGTTTTTTTCCTTCCTTCACTTGACATTATAGTTCCCATAATTAATTCCATTTCAACTTCTTTATCAGCAAAACAACTCTCAATACTGCTTCCAATAACACGGCCTGAGCAATTAATTTCATGTATCCTGTTTCAGTCAAGATGATGTACAAGTTTCTCAAGCCAGGTAAATCACACCTTTCCAAGTCCTTACCTCCAAAGACGGAGCCTTTCCAGCTGCGACCAGAGAAGAGGAGCATGGGATCAAAGGTGATCTTTTGTGCTGCAGGGGGCACTCCCACAATCACACTGACTCCGTAGTTATACTGACAACAGGCCAAGGCTGCAGCCTGCATTAGAAACAGAGGGACACCCAGGGTCAGGCAAGATTTGTCCTTGGGGCACAGAAGTTGAATTCCATCTCCTCCTCTCATGGCTCTGCTTGCAATTAATTTTTTGTAACTGAAACCACATAAAAAATTGTCCATTTTATCTGCTCACACCATTGTATCTGCTTTCACTGGTTAAGTATGTCCTAGCTTTGCTCTTCTTGTCCATTTTGTCTAAATTATTAGTGATTCTCATGCTCTCACTTTTGGAGAGCATGAGAAATATGTGACCTGTAGCCACCCTGGTGTGGCCAGGGCACTACAGTGAAGTTCCCTTTCCTAAATTTCTGAGTATGCTTCTGTCCCTGCATCTCAGTGGCCGACAGCTGGACTTAACAGGTTTGAAGTGAGCTTGGTACTTGGCCAGTGGCTCCCAGCTCCTCTTCATCCTCAGTGCTTGGTGACTTGGTGAAGGGAGTGCTGAGGAGTGTCACCCCCTCCTTTGGTGGCATACCATGGTATCCGTACGGCCGATGACCTCGAAGGAGTAGTCCACACCCCCGCTGGTCATTTCCGTCAACACTTCGTGGATGGGCTTATTGAAATCTTTGGGGTTGATGCAGTCGGTGGCTCCCAGCTCCTTGGCCTTGGCAAACTTGTCACTGTTGATGTCCACGGCAATGATGCGGGAAGCCCCGGCCACCTTGCAGCCCATGATAACGGAGAGGCCAACTCCTCCGAGGCCAAAAACGGCACAGGTGGAGCCTGGTTCCACCTGTAATAACAACCATGTAAACATGGCATAATGTTACAGGCTAGGGAAACTACCATGCACTTCCTCATTGTCAGCAGGATTTCACTTAAGCCACTTCTTGCAATTTAGAGATTACCTGCTGAGAAGGAATTTGCACATGCATACCTGCTAGTGCAGTAGCCAGCTGTACTGTTATAATGCTACGTGTGACTAAGAGAAATTCTCCCTAAAATACATTTCTGAGACCAGGTTTTCATTATGTCTCAGCTTCGGGTTTAGACACAGCTTTTTTTTATGATGCTTTATATTCCAGTGGTGTTAAGGTCTGTAGTGTCACTCAACTCATGACAGTGCCAGCTCTAAAACTCACATTCATATATTGCTACAATTGTGAGTGTTGCCTATATGTGTTGCTTCTATCTATTCCTAGATTTTAGTTACAATAAAAAAAATGAACTCTGTTATAACATTTTTCTGGGGGTGATAAAGCTATGAGGGAAAACACTATAGATGGTAATAAATAATTTTACTGCATTTTGAATTGAAGACTTCTGAGTACCCTAGAGACAGAATCTGAAGTAGGCAAAGAATTGGCATCTTCTTTCTGCAGAGTCTGTACCTTCTCACTGCCATGCTGACCACCCACTTGCAGGCTACACAATCTTGAATAGACACCACAAAAAATATCAGAAACACCCAGCACAATATTTACCTTGGCAGTCTGCAGAGCAGCCCCGTAACCAGTTGAAAATCCACAGCCAATTAGACAAACTTTTTCCAGAGGAGCAGCGGAATCAATTTTGGCCACAGCAGATTCATGCAGTACTGTGTATTCAGTGAAGGTACTTGTACCAAGAAAATGGTGAATTGCTTTTCCTTTACAGGTGAATCTGGTGGTGCCATCAGCCATTAATCCACCGCTTGTACCAAGACTGTTTGAAAGATGATCAGAAATAATGGCAAGTGAAACTTGTTGATAGTAATCAATTTTGGGTAAAGTCAAATTAAATTAGGGTTGTAAATAATCCAGAAAAACTCACTCAGTTTTACTGCACAGATTACTCTTGGTGTTTAAGCAGTTCTGGCACTCCCCACACTGTGGAACAAAGAGTGGAATAACCTTGTCTCCTAGATATAAAACAGTAATGACAGAGGATTAAAAAGGCAAACAAGAAGCATGCAGGTAAAAACATGAAGTAAGTGTATTTAATCTCCAGGCAAATATACACTAGGAACACAGCCATGGTTTTATTTCCTTCTGCTACATTTTTAAGATGAACCATCTCTCTGTCTTTTATATAAAAGACATAATTAGGGCAAAATTATTACAACTAATTTTGATATGCAAAATTTCTGGTGTCTTTCCACAGAACTGTGTGACCTATGTCATAAAACCATGTTATTTTCTCTTAATAATTTAACCCTTGTTAGAATTTTTTCCATCCAATAAAAGTGTAGAGGAATCCCATCTCATCTTGCAGCACTTGGCTGAAAATTGTCACCTTTCACTGACTATCTATGCACTGTGGTTCAAAGGGAACAGGGAGAGGAGCAGCTGGTCCAGATGAGTGTCCTCAGAGCAATCCAGCCCTCAAGGAAAAGTGCTGCCTCACCTGCACTGGTGCTGCCCACATGCAAAGCCTGCAGCAGGGTGGGCAACCCAGTTGTGCCCTGGTGCTTTTAAAATGAGGTAAGGCCTAAGTTCTGGTCAACTTAAGTCAACGGACTCTTTAGCTGTTAAGAGAATTAAAAGGTGTTTGACATGTTTGTCATTTAGTGCTTTGCTTTGCCTTATCCTTGAGAAAGGGGAGCCACATAAACTGTTCAGAGAACCTGCAGCTAATGCCTGATTTCACATGAACAACAGCAGACTCTACGTTCCTAGTCCCACAACAGGAAAAGCACGATGTAGGTGGAAAGCAAGCTGCAGATGTTTTTTGCCAAAACCAAAAGAAATTGAGTAGAAAATCTGAAAGTATATTGGGGACACAGAAAGGCATAAACAGCAGGTTTATATCCTTTGAGGTATCCTCGAAAAAATTGAAATTGGAATATTTTCCTGCGCAGTAAAAATACTCACAAAAGAAATAATCTTTGACTTGAGGGTCTGGAAACTTAGCACAGGATTTGTTTTCAGCGCTGTTTCATACCTGGCTTGACTGCAGTCACTCCCTGCCCAACACTCTCCACAACACCAGCTGCTTCATGCCCAAGAATTATTGGAAAAGGCATAACCAGTGCACCAGTTATCACATGGTCATCAGAGCGGCAGATCCCAGTGGCCACGATCTGATTCACAGGAAAGACAAGAATATTTCTGCTTTTAACTGTGTCATGTCATATATGGAAATGAAATGATATTCTAATTTGGAGAAGGCACTTGCTTCTCCCCAAAATCCAACATGCACACAATAAATCTACAGGTAAAACAAATTTAGTTGTCTAAGATTTTCATGGTGTTTATTAGTCTTTAATCTACAGGGCAATGCCCCTTTGTGAATCTTTGCTATGCAGTACTGAGCTCCAATGGTTTTTCTGTAGAACTAATGTTGTAGCAATACAATTATATAGGGAGAACAGAGTAAATTAAATTATTCCTCATATTTATATATAAATACTTAAAAAGAAAAGTGTGAAATATTTAAAGAGTGTGAAATATTATATAAATATTATAAAATTATGTAAATAAAAACTACCCATCACATATTATTTATAAACATATAAATATTGTATCTATTTTGTATTTATTACATTTAGATTATATGATAATGTATAATAGATATTTTATATAAATTATGTATTATAGAATGATTTTATATTATAGATAATTGCACAATAATTATATTACTGTGCTGTGTATATATTTAAAATATTTGTATATATTACATTAAAAAATGTAGGCTACATAGTGTTTTATATGACAGTTTGCCTTTTCTTCCAGCCAGAACAGCACTATTTCTTTTGAAATATTCAGGTATGTGTTTACAACTTTTATTCTGACAAATGGATTTGTCAACCCCATGACAGGGTTTTACTCACATATGTAACACTTGAAACTGCTCAAAAATTAAGGCAGCTGCTAAATTCCACTGAGGCCAATATCCAGGTAAAAAAGGAATCTCCCAGGCCTAATGAGCTACTTCCTAGCACAGATTCAAACAAAGTAAAATAAATTTTCTTGCTCCACACTACAGGAAATTCTGATTTTTGACTTGTACTGTAATTTTTTCAGCCTATTAGAAAAACAGATGTCAGTAAACAAAAAATACAACCCTGAAAAAATTATTTTTTTTAAAAGAACCTCATCATCAAATTAAGGACTTTAAATGTGTTTCATAGAAGCTGACTGATTAGAAACTACTTTCTAGTAGAATGTTTTCTGACTGGGTTTTAAAAATTTATAGAACTAATTCCGATTAAAAGCAAGATAGAATGCAAGTCATAGGAGGTGTTTTAAATTTTATTTTCAGTACCTTTACACGCACTTCATGTTCTTTTGGTGGGGCAACTTCCACATCCTCGATACTGAATGGTTTGTTGGCTTCCCACAGCACTGCTGCCTTGCATTTAATAACCTGCAAACAGAGCAAAGAAAATGGGAAAGGCATTTGCATTTTCAAGTCACCACGCAGATTCTTCCCTTTTGCGTGTGAAAATCCTGCTCATATTTGTGTAGATGAGAGGGAAACTACAGGGAAGAAAACCAAACCAAGCAACAAAAAAGTCAACACCAAAGGTCAGTGTAAGCCTGCTTTTCCCCTCACCAAGATCATGTCTGACTTTGCTCATCATTCTGTCACTTCTGTCAAGTTTTCAGATGCATCATGTGTAATAGTCTCCTAGGTAATGGGATACCCTACCCATTCTCATTGCTCCTTTGCTAACTTCCTTGGTCAATTTCTTTTGCTGTGTTGGATTACTTGTCTGCATTTCTATCTTCCTGAAGATGACACACTAAATGATGTCACTTATCAGGCTGTGATGGTCTGTATTGCCTAGAACTGTCTGTGTTGGGAACTGACAAAATTGCTAAAAATGGAATTCAGAGCCTAGTACAGCTTTATAAAACTTCCAGTAGAGCTCAAGTTCAGGCATGAGGGGACGGCTGAAAGGACACCTGTGCAAACTGATGTAGCACTACACAGAGGTAATCTTGAACAGTCTCTTTAAGTGCAGTATTATGCATGCTAAGGTACCCCCTTCTCAGAAGGGATACTTGACTCAGGTGGATTTACTACCCAACTATCCAAGACAGTTTTTTTCCCATCTCTTAGACTGAAGTTTGTCCATTAACTCTTCAGGCTTTGTCCAGGTAATGACAGGCTTTAGGGCGCCTCTGACCATCTGCCACTGAGAGAAAAATCCCCTCAGAAAAGAGAAGAGCACTGTCCACACCTCATCCCAGGCTCTCAAACAGGTTTCCTCCCTGCAAGCTCAATCCTAGTGTATTCAAAAGCAGTGGGACCTCTCTGTCCCCATAATTGCTGTTCCTCCTTGGAAGTGTTTGAAGATCTCATTCTAGGTCTTTAAACAACCCCAGTCCCTGAAATATTATTTTCCTGGGTGACACACTATAAAGTCCTCAGTCCTTCTGTTAAGTCTACTGACTGCAAGTGTCCAGGTGACATGATCTTGAAAAGGAAACAGAGGGGAATCAAATCCAGGATGCAAGAAGTTTAGCACATGCATATTTATCACGTGTGACCAGGACAACTTAACACCAGTGTGCTGCAAAAGTCACAGGAAAAACAACAAACAAACAAATGTTTAGTATCAAAACTTTTGAAGTAGAAGTAGAAATAATGTCTGATTACCCACAAACTGAAAATTGGTAACAAAGAAAATAATTACTAGGAAATTCTAAACAAATAAAATAGACTTCAGCAGCTAGACACAGAAGTGGGGTGGGCCCAATGCTTTGAAAAAAAATGCATCAAGAGATATTTGCACTAAATTTAAATTTAATGTTTAGATGCAAGTGTGATTAGTGAAAAATTCACAAGTGTGGTCAAAGATCACATTTCAAAGGGCACCAGCTTACCTAAAAAGGCAGTATATATATTTGTATTGTATCCCACATAACACAGTGATGTTCCCATGACTTGCCCATGCAAAGCACATGTACTGTTTCTAAGAACAAAGGTCAACAAGTGTGGCTTGCCGAGAACAAACAAATCTCTCCTATAATGAGACATTATTAATTATGTATTTTTCTGACTGCTTAGTCCCTGTGAGCTTTTATGGATTGCAATAGGGTCCCACAGATGCAGCAACAGCACAATATGACCCACCTCATCTGCTAAGACAAGCACTGCCTTAACAGTTGTTTCTCTGCTCCTGTGTTCTACCAGCTGTGTGAGTTACTGCAGGGGGAGGGCAGGTGTAGAAACACACCCTTCTGCAGGACACACATTATGCTGTTTGGTTACATAAATTGCAACTGTAACTCCCGTGTTATTCTCAGATAAACATGGTGAAATCAAAGCAGTTAAGCTACATCACAACCCTTCTTTTACTGATCTCCATCCTATGCTGAGTAGGGGACTGAACGTAGTGAATTTACCTACAGTAAGCTACAATTAATTTTGTATTTGCAGTAACTCGGAGTTAAAGAGCATTTTTTCCTCTCTCTTTTGGTTTTAGAATAGTGAAGACAGCTGGCAGTAACAGCAAATGATCTTGGTGCTATCTTAAGACATATTCTAGGAAGGTGCCTGCTTTCAGTTGTTTTCCATTTCTAGTTGCATGTCCCTTAATCCCTCTTGCAGATCCCTGGGTGCCTGTTAGCATCTTGCCAGCAGTGCAAGAAGGAACATGTATTGGTATCAACCTCCATCTCTCTTGTAATCTAATTTCTAGCAAAGATATAACTTGAGTCACAGTTCAGTATTGCAGTATTGCATTGCATGTGAAATTTACTTCTGGTGTTCATTAACTAAAGTTTGAGACTTGTTATATGCATATTCAAATTTAATAACTGTCCTAATGGCAGCACAATTTACCCCGAAATTTCACACAATATTAGCTATATCTTCTTTTTAGAAAACAAGGTGATAGAATTATAAATAAACTAAAAATAGTTAAAAAAATAGTTTAAACTGTAGGATCTCAGAATAGAAATAAATACATTGATCTAAACATTTAGTACATTCTGTCATATTTTAAACTATCCAGAGATTAAAAAGTTTGCTAACCCAGGCAGGATGTTATACTTATTCTGGTGTTATTACCTTATGTTGCCTCAAATAAACTATTGCCTTGAAGAGTTAACAACCATTTCCTGAGAAACTACAGTAGCCTGCAAATAAAGGCAGCTCTTCTGTACCAGCTTCATCCTAAACTTTAATCTGTGCTATACCACCAGGATTTACAGTGTCCCTGCAAAGAATTCACATTTAAAAATGCATTACTCAGCTGCAGCAAAGAAATTTTCCTAATACAAACTGTTGCTTACTTTGCCTGCTGTGCTCATGTTGACCACTGTGTCTGTTTCAAAGCTTGCCACTGCTGATTTCCTGCACCAAGAACTCAGTCGCCTGTAGAGCAGCTGGGTTGCTGGCACCACAAGCCCTCTCCAGCACACGGGAACCTGGCTGTGTGAAGTGCTCCCACAAGTGGACTGCTCTGATCTTTTAGCCAAGCCTCCCAGCTCAGAGTCCCACCCCTTAATCAGAAGAAGTGCTAGAATGAGAGTGAAGCACTCACTGGATTAAACCTCACTTTTTCAGTGCCTCCCTCTTCTTGACTCCTTTGTCATGCTCTTCCTACCCTTTTTTTGCAGCTCACCTGTGGTTGCCCTCAATGTCATGGGACAAAAGCAACAGCCCTGGTTAGAAGTTATTTCCCTTTTTCCACCTCCCTGGAAGCTGATCTCCCAACCCACTACTCCCACGGGCACTGTAGGTGCAAAGAGAAACGGAGGGAGTGGCTCTTGAATTCACAGCAGCAGGGACACAGTGAGAACATGAAGGTTTTGCTGATGAACTTTGGTGACACTTGTAAGAGCCCAGCTCATCCATGAAGACGTGGGATTGTGCAGGCTGCTTAAGAATCATACACTGACTGTGTGCCTGTGGCTGTATGTGCTCCTGAATTCTTCGTGTTACAGTCCGGCTACTCATTAATCTGTTGGAATGGCTTTCACTGTGTCCAAGGACAATGTGCCAATCATGCTGAGGGCAGAACAAAAATCAGTAAGTCAGAAGTGCTGTGACAGAATGTTTCTTACCACATGGAACACCCTGCTTGTTTTGTGCCTGACCTGTTGGTTCTGTCAATACCCACAAGCACAGCCCCATCACTGCTCACATGCCCACACACTTCCCCTCTCCAGGCACGACACGTTGGTGCAAGGGACTGGGTGGAAGTCAGCACTGCATGCCTTTCCTGGGGACTTCAAACCTCATCTATTTGTAAGTTATGCCCAGCATCCTGAAATCAAGATTTTTCTTTCATAAACAAGTAAAAAAGAGATAAAATGCTGCATATAACCTTAGTAGTAATTACTAAGTATAGCATTCTCTCATGTTTACCTGTATGACTGTAACTAATTCAAGAAGAGATTCTTCTCTTCCCTAGTCATGCTGGCTACTCTACTTCTGATTCTTGGCCACCAGAGCACATGCTGACTCATGTTCAGCTGCTGTCAACCAGCACCCCAGGTCCTTTTCCTCCAGGCAGCTTTTCCTGCGGTGCTGCCTGGGGTTGTTGTTACTGAGGGCTGGACTTGGCACTTGGCCCAGCTGAACATCTGTGCTGGTTTTGGCTGGGGCAGAGTTAGTTTTCTTCACTGGTGACTGGTTTGGGACTGGGTTTTGGATTCATGCTGAACATAGGGCTGATAATGTAGGGATTTTTTGGTATTGCTAAGCATGGTTTATAGAGCCAAGACCTTTTCTGTGTTTCATATGGCCACACTGGTGAGGAAATTGGGAGTGTGTGGGAGGCTGGGAGGAGACATAGCCTGGACAGGTGACCCAAACTGACCAAAGGGCTGCACCAGACCTCATGGCATCATGCTCAGTATATAAAGTGGGGGAAGAAGGAGGAAGGCGTGGACATTTGTAGTGATGGCATTTGTCTTCCCAAATCACCATTACACATGATGGGGCCCTGCTCCTGTTAATATATTTATAGAAACATTTTTATTGTCTTTAATGGCAGTGACCAGATTAAGTTCTACTTGGGCTTTGGCCCTTCTAATTTTCTCCCTGCCAAAACTCATAACGTCCTTGTAATCTTCCTGAGCTCTCAGCCCTTTCTTCCAATGGACATAAACTCTCCTTTTTTGTTCAGAATTCCAGCCAAAGCTCTCCAGTCCTCTCAGAAGGTACAACCTAGTGATTTGCACTTCCTAAAATAACTTATATCACAATGAAGTATTTCTAGTCCACTCAATTGCTTGATGTTTATCTTTCTCCTTTCCTCCCTTCTTTTGTACTTGATGATTTTAGAGATCTTTTCCAACTATTCCCATCCCTTTTCCTTATTGGTTTATTTCTCATATCCCTTTATGTTTCCTTTCCCCTGAAAACTTTTCCTCATATCTTGAGCTATATGCATATCAAGACCATGAACTTTTTTCTTCTCCACCTGAGAACACTGGTTCAGACAGTGGATCCTGTCTGCAGCCTGTGCAGGGGTAGGTGTCATGGTCTTTAGGCAAAAGGTGACAAAAAAAGAGACTGCACAGGGTTCCAGTGAAGCACGAGCAGACTTGCATAACCATGTTGCAGAAGTTGCTTTATTTGCCTTGCTCTGCCCAATTCCTAAAGATAAATGAGGGTGAGGCTCCAGCTGAGGGCATACATGGAATGGCCCTGGAATGCAGGGAAACCACAGTGCCACCCCTTTACAACTTGCTTGCACAGGCCCTCGGCTGAACCCTTTGCCAGAAAATACTTAGCTGATCCCTAGATCTCTCCACTTTTAGGCCTGTGACTATGAAGAGAATTTTTTTCTGTGTTTATCTACATGTTGTGCAATTAAAATCTCTTCTTTCTGGTGACCAGTGACATGACCCAAGGGGATGGCATGAAGTTGTGTCAGGGGAGGTTAAGTTGAATATTAGGAAAAGGTTTTTCACCTATAGGGTGGTTGGGCACCTGAACAGGCTCCCCAAGGCAGTGGTCACAGCACCAGACTGACAGAATTCAAGAAGGGTTTGGACAATGCTCTCAGGCAAAGGGTGTGACTCTTGGGGCTGCCCTGCACAAGGCCAGGAGTTGGACTTTGATGCAGGTCCCTTCCAATCAGGATAGCCTGTAATTCTATGGAAAGATGATACATAATTACTTTATCATTTTTTTATCTCAATTTATCCAACTGAACATGATGCAATAATATCCCCTCTCCAGTGATTTATTAACCTCAGCAGATTTCAGTGAAATGTGTGTCAGAGGCTGAAGACAAAGAGCATACTGGAGGTGTTCAAGGCTGGTGAGCCTGCAGACAGAAGCAGTGGGCAAAGGCCTGTTCTTGCCACTCCAGGTTATCTTCACTTGGGGACTGTAACTTGGGCAAATGTTAACATGAAACATTGACCATGCTCAGCAGATTGTAGCCATAGCTACAGTTTCTGCCTACAAGGCACTTGTAGCAAAGTGGTTCTTTGCTGCCACTTCCCAGGCAGCACAGCTTGCTTCCCACTCCTTACTCCTGCCAGGGCTGAGCAGCCTTGCACTGCTTGTTTCCCCTCAGCAGTGCATGATGTTGACTGCAGGTGAAGAGAGCTAGTGCTTTCTGAAATAGCTTTCTTGTAATGAAAAATTAGTTCTGCACTGAACCTGGCTCTATTTAACAGGAGACTATTTTAACCACAGCTCAAGTGACCTAGAGAGAACCTGTTGTTCTCTAGCTCTTCAGAGAACAACAAAAAAGCTTTTAAGAGCAGTTATGCATCACAGATTTAACTGACAAATAATAAAATGCATACTAACTTTAGCTAAAACTTTAGAATTTTTAAAAATAGGTTACTTCTTCCTTATCTACCATGTTGATTTTTAAGCTTACCAAAGTTACGTTTGTTTCTTTCCGACAGTCAACTTAGCTGTTAAGAAAAATAAACCTTCTGGGGCATGTTTAAATTGAAAATCCAGCATTTCTTCCTACTGTGTGATAGCAATTTCCAAGTTACCCTCTTATGAATCACTTCTGAAGAACTTGGTAACACAAAAGCCCTGGAACACACATGTTAGCAGAAAATAGGAAAAAAAGAGCAACATTTCTGAAGTCCCACCCTACACAGTATAGAAGCTGTGACTGCAACAACTCCTTTGTATTTTTCCACCTGCACATTTAAGAATGTCCACAAGATTAGGTATACAAAACCCTAAGTGCAAGTGCTCATTGTTATTGAAGCACAGAGATTGAGCAGAACTAGCTGGCAGGGCAGGTTATGCCCTTCAAAAAGTTTAGGGATTGTCTGAAGATTATACAAATGTGCATGGCACGGCAATGGAGGTGAATTAAGCACGTACAGGATGTCATCCAGTTTTGTGAGAACATGAACAAAGACATCCAGAAATAAACACCTTTCCAAACACACACAGGAAATAAATCAACAGCTCACAGGACAATGGCTTATTCATTTTAGTAAGCTGAAGAAATACTAAAGCTGAAAGGTGTAAATTGGCTTGTGGGTTTAGAGCAAGTACTAGAAGAATTTGAAGGGGAAAATAATATTCAAGGAAAGTACTCAATCAAGCATCAACACCCCTTTTTTAAATAATGCTTTTCTTCCTTTTAGGTCTCTTATCACAGCCAAACGAGGCAAACAAGAAATTAAAAAGCACATCTTATAGTACTTGAAGTAAAAATGCAGCAAAAGGGAATAAATACAAATCAAACATTTGATTATTTGGCTTTAGGATTGTCAGTAGTAGATGCTGTTGTTCCAGCTAACAAAGCCACCTTCTTGGAAGAGAGACAATTAAGGCACGCATTTCAAAGATGGACCAAAGTCCAAAGTTTATTCAGCTCTAGATTTGGAAGTCACACTGAAGTCCACCTCTGCTTTTCAATAACTTAGGATAAGAAGAATGTGTGCTTACTGATAGCTTATTTTAAAGCCCTCCTGCAGAATAAATGGATTCTTTAAAATAATACGAGCCAATACCAATAATGGTGCAGTGAACCTGTGATCTTCAGTGTGATCTACAGCACAGCCTGAGCAATAAAAAGTTCTGTTTAAATCAGAGAAACACCAAACTCTTCAAAATTCCCTGACCTTATCCTCAAGCTCTAAGGATTTTAGGAATGCCACATCCTGCACCTGGTAGTCACACTGCCCCAAGACTGCCCTGAGTGCATGTGCCTTGTCAAGCACACAGGATTTTGGAATAACCATCAGTGTGGATCCCCTTGGACAGCTACACCCCTGAGCTCCATGCAAAACCCACCATCGTTGTCAACTTTGTGACCAAAAGCCTCTGAGATGGGGCACTTCAGAGAGGCTCTTCTCTACTCAGGTGC